AATTTATTAACTTCGAAAACCTCAAAAATAAGTTTTCTAGGAAGAAATAGATGATAATTTTCATATGTTGTTTTACTGAATTTAAGTTTTCCAAAGCAACGCTCTAATTGGTGTCGGTACAATTTTGAGCAGAAATCCTCCTATTTATGTAAAGTTATGAATTGATTATTTACTTTAACATTGCTAATTTGAATAAAAAATCTAGTTTATCATAATATTTCAGGTTTAAATTTTTAATTTGCGAATAAGTAAGCCCGAAGTCAACTAAATGGCAAATGATAGCTATCAAAACACCTGCCATTTGAAATAAATAATCAGTTACTTAAATCCGAGCTAATCTAACTATTATTTGTGTTTGGAATTTCTTTTCAGAGAATAGTTGTTTAGTAAACCCCTCCTTTGAATTAAAATTTTCAAGTGTCAAAAATGTTTATGGAAAATCATTCAATTTGATTTCGCTGTGTGTTGAAATGATTAATGAAATATTTCTCATAAATGTTTGCATTTAATTTTATTGAAGTAAATTTTAACTTTGGCAATTTTACATGCGTGTACGTCGAAATTGCCATATTTTTTGGAAAGCCTTTACAGCGACATCTGGTTAGGTAAGGTCAAAAATACCGAAAGCAACTGCTGCCAATTGAACAAACTAGCCTCGCTAATAAAAATAAATTCACCTTATTTTTTGATAGAGCCAAAGATTGTAGCCGCATCGGAATCACAGAGGGTCCCCGGGGGAAACAAGACAACCTTCTGGTGTGAAATTAAGGGCTACCCCTTGCCCACAGTCACTTGGTACTATTTTGCTCCCGGTGGCTCCTATGAAACAATTCTTCTTCCCGGTAAGCCTTCTTTTCCAATTTCTACTAGCGAAATTGAGTGACGGATTGACTAATGATTCTTTGAATGCACATGATGTCAGTATCCATACCTTCCCTTCAAATATTAGGACCAGCTGGTTTCCTTTCTGACAGAATGTAAAGATAAAACAACTATTGAAAAAAGCAGAAGTCCATCTAATGATGTGCTGCAATTCTTTCTAAATTTGGAATTTAGCAAAGAAAACAGCATCTCTAAGCTTTATTGAATGTTATTATGATTGCCAAGGATACTAAAAGTAGATTTTGCTATTATTTTGCTCATTGGGAAGTGTTTGAATAAGGAGAACGTCAAACAGGTTCAATAATGTGGGGGTTAATAAGAAGCAGGTAGTGAAGGAATCCTACTTTTGTTGAATTATCGAACCATCAGTTCTCCCATATTCCCAAAAGAAGTTTAGTGCGTAGGGTACACCCTTCGTGGGTGAAGTTATAAAGGTTTATTTATTTCAATAATAATAATTTGTACTTTTTAAATGCAGTTTACAGAGATAGATTTAAAAGTTAAATAACTGAGTGGTGTGAATTTTAAGATAATCATGCGATTTCTAAGCCTACGCCGAGACTGAAAAAAGGGTTTTTTAAGCAAAAAACAATAAAATGCTCAAGCTTCCTTTGTCAGTAAGGTAGGATAAATTAAATTTAATTGCTACACTGAAATTAACTGAAGAATTTAGTGATATGCATATTTTCCTCACTATCGTTCAAATCATCATATTAATTGTCAACATTTTATGGTCATTTGTTCGTGATATTCGAAAAGAAAATACCAACACGTTAAACAGTTGCATTCATAAAGGAAGTGGGGTGGGGGAGGTTGTGTAATCGATCGAGAAACTGTGTAGGTCGCAGATATTACACGCTGCCAACTCTGCGATAAGTTTATTGGCCAATTGGGGGCAACCAATCAGTATCCCTGGTCAGAAGTAAGGTCAATTCATATCCTGACAATTTTGACATGATTAAAATCAAATCAAATCAAACCGTCGAAATATGATTCATACACGTACCTTATAAATATCAAGAAAGAATTAAAAATGGTTAATTTTTTCAATAGTTATATTTTGGTCTATACTGACTTAATCTGTTTCCGTCGATGATGATTTTCTGCATTTGTTAATTTAAGTAAGGAAAACAATAGCATATGAATAATCTAAGCTTAGAACTAAGATCGACGAAAATATTGTATATACTTTTAGTAAATAAGTATAATAAAAGCATCATGGTATCGAATTGCTCTTAACTAGAAACGTACGCCCAAATTATTTCCCAACCATTAACTATTACTGGCTTGTATCCCCAATACTTCACAACTCAAACTTCAATTTCACAACTTACAGCGCTTTGGCAGCTTAAAAGTTTTAGTTACATTGAGAATCAAATTTCGGAATGTGGATACTCATTCGATAACTATCTTGTGACCCGAATTAAAAAATAACTCAAAAGAAGCAGCGCTTTTAATCTCCTCCCTTTAACAATTAATCGGTTCATTTGTTGACAGATCCTTCTCACAACTGATATTTACACATTTTTGTGTCACTGTGGTTACTGAATGTAGTAGCATATGGAATAAGAAATATGCTTGTCCAGAAATCCGAAGACAGAAGACGTTTAGCCTTCAAAGCTTCATATTTCTCTTTCATTAATAAAAATGATATGAATTATAGGTCTTGAATAATCAAAATCAGAGTAAAGAAAAACGTGAAAATTATCTATTCAGTTTTCTCTAATGAATGTGTTTGGGACTTCCGTGACCTGAAATTTTTGGGCCACCTGCTTGAAATCTTCAAAACTAGACAACCACTTTTAAGTCACCTGAAGACGGATTAACGCCATCCATGGAGACCAATTCTGCTGAATGGTGTTTTAATCATTGTTAAATTAAGAAATTGAACATTTGAAATCAATACTGTTTTTTTCTTTCTGAAATAGTGAACTCGTCGATTGTGTAAAAGTACATTTTACAAATCTTGCATCGATTGTCTTAGCGATTGGCTTTATTTAATTTCCAAGTTAATTAGTCAACCGTAAGACGTTTTGTGGAGTCATACAAGGAAAGTCTTATCCCTTTGTCCGGGATTTTATAAAAGGAAGCTGATATCACAAATGTGTCTGTTTCGATCGCTCGTGCATCGCATAAATAAGCCATTTCATATGTCGCGCGTCAAATTGAGGTATATTATTCCACGGAAAGGTGAAAAAAGGAATGTAGAGCTTAGGAGTTTGCAATAACTTCATTAGATAACAGCCAACTAGAAGCACTGTAGTTGAAACAACCTCGACATAATTTAACCAAAGGTAGTAGCCAACTTTGGTTAATTTTAATAAAAATATATAAAGTGGTTACTAATTGGGAGGAAGGATTTTGTGATTTCTTATCTTTTTTCATTGGTGTAGTAGAATGGAATTTGGGCTGTTTTCATTAACATTTAAGCCTTATTTCTCTTGCATTCCATTGTACTACTATCATCCTGTAAACTTAGATGGGTTTATAGTGCATCTCTAAGTGGCTATGAACACAAACGTTAGAAGAAAGGAAAGTCTGGTTGTATAAAAATTCGGCAAAATTCGGCATTTTAAATGAAAAGGGTAACTAGGAGTTGTGCTAAAGGTCATTAAATGACAAGGAATTTCTGCATCAAAAGAGACCCTAAAAAATTAAAATAAAACTATTAAGAAGATGCACGTTATTCGATTTTTGATAGTGCTATATTTACCCAATATGTTGTTCACGTCTTAAATTGTAATTATTCCATTTTCTTCAGTTTGGCCAATTCAATTAACTTTTTTTATGCCAAGTGTGCGCAAACACTATGGCCATGAACAAAAACTTATTTGTTTTATAATGATTTTGTCACTTCTTGGGTTGGATTAAAAGGTGTTCTGGAACCATTCCATCAAGGAGTGCGCATTCACTGTGAGGAGGTTGGAGGAAGGTAGTTGTGTTAGATGTGATCGAAGAATGAGACTGCCCTGAATATTGCAAACTAAAAAAACTGACTCAAGGGTAAGAGATAAAAGAAATAGATAATTAATTTACGGTTAAAGGGATACAATTATTAGTAGGAAAGGGTGAAGCTTTAGAGAGTTTACGAGACCTCTTATTTAAGTATTTCCTAACACTAGTTAATCGAAACTACGAATAAGAAACAAAGTAATAATTGTGATAAATCCTATTTCATTTACCATGTATTAGCTCAGATAATTGATTAATCGATTAATTTCTATTTTTTTCTTATAGGAGATTCCGACGAAATGAGTGTGAGTTTACGAGGTGCCCCACCAGGTCGACGAATCATTTCTCACCTCCAAATTCGTCGATTTGACATAAAATACGAGGGTATCTACCAATGCTACGTGGAAAATGATCTGGGCAGTGATCGTCGCAATATAACAGCAATTTACGCACCACCAGAGTCTAATCCTCGCGATCTCTAGATTGAATCTTCATTGATTTTTTTTGTTCCAATTAATTTCTTTTCTCACATTCTTCCCTTTTCCTTCCACTCACTAACACATTCACTAAAGGCATGCTTGCATCTAAACACATGCGTTAGGTTTCTTTTAATTTAATAAATAATAATTAGTTAAAGAATTAAGAATTACGTTTTTCATGCTACTAATAAAAAAAATACAGCTCGGATATTTTTTATTCATCCTCAATTATACAGCCTCAAAAAAACAGAGTAAAATGTGACTTCATGGTATGCGAAACAGTGGACAGTGGCACTCTCCGATATAGCCGACTGGCCAAGAATCGAAGCCGTTGCTGAGTTTAGACTACGTACCGGACACGATTGCTTGGCAAAACACCTTCACAGATTGGGAGTATACACTCAACCCACATGCCCCCTATGTAACCTACAGGAGGAAATGAAGAAGACCCACCTGAGTCGATGTCCAGCCCTAAAGACAACGACAGAAAGCCAGAGATACTGGGAAGCAAGAAGACGGCTAATGAACTGCTATTAATTAACTGCTATAAATGTACCCCCCACCCTAGGGGGAAGCTGAAGTCGAAGTTTAAGGGCTGATGATAAATATCATAAAGCCTGCCATTCGAAATAATAATAATGAGTATGCGCATAAAAACAGATAGTCTTGTGCGCAAACGATGTCTGGGAATGATCGCTAACCTATGAATTATACTAGAAAAAGGTACCAATTCCACAATAAATGTAAAGTCATTATACAAGTGAAACTCGAGGAGGCTTCCCTTCAAATTGCTTCCACACAGAGACGCAACATACGCCAAAATCTACCTTGGAAAACGAACAAAATAATGTACTTTTGAGTTTTCAGACATGGATGAACTCCAAAGAGAAGGAAACGAATACGCAAATTTGAATGCAACAAATTTCGAATTCTACGTCTATTAAACATTGACAACTCGTAAATTACAAATAAGAAAAGGCGTATTAAAACGACATTTACCGCACCTCTACCGCCTACCGTGGCTTGGCAATCAACTTACAGGTATGCCAAGTCAAGTGCTCCAAGATCACAAGTGATAAATTGAATGATCAACAGCGATAATAAATTAAGGTCAGTAGGGAGGCAGGTAAAGTGCGCGTTTTTTGGGATCCGACATATGCAATAGTTGGCAAGTTCAAATCCAGAAATAGAAGAGAGGATTGTATGACAAAATTGATTTACACTTCGACGTATTGAAATGATTACTTTACTACTGATATCGTGGAAGCTTCATTTTTGAGTATTTATTTATTTCAAATGGCAAGCATTTTGATAGTCATCATTAGCCCTTTAGTTGAATTCGGATTTCACAGAGGGTAGGAACAGGCAAGACCACAAAATGTCGAGAGAGGGAATAGAAGAGTGATCCATAAATTTAAAAGAGAGACAGACACAAACATAGAAAAGAGGTGAGTTGAGTTCGAGTATGGCATACAGCCGGGTCATGGTAGTTTGAAGTCAGAAGCCAACTGTCGGTTAATAGACTTTTTGCCGTATGAGTTAACGCTGCCCAGGGTGCACCACGTGGAGATTAGTCTATCGCTCACCACTCATTTCTGAGTATAACTATGCAAGCAAGGTAACTGAGAGATCATAACTTCAATTCCCATCAGTGGACATCCAGTGAGCGGAAAGGCTAATTGCATTAAGTTCGGTTTACATAGAGGGTGATGGAATTCGAGACCCTTGACAGTGAGACTCAAAATGCTCGTCACAAGGTGGTCGCTGATTAATCTTTGACAATACTCTTAGCCAGATATTACTTAGCTGAGTTCACTGACTACTCGAAGACATCGGAAATGCAAGGAAAATGCAAGATACTCACCTATTTAAGGCAAATAATCTATAATACTGATGATTTAATCTTAAACATCATTTATAAAGCCACAAACTTGGACGATAAATCCTGTTTATCCTAACAGTGTGATATACCAATATTGTTTAACTAGAAAAATCTATAAGTAGACGGAGGTCAATATCGATAATGGATGCAGTCAACGATGCTTGTAATCTCAAAAATAGTATGATATTGGCTTTGAATATACCAGGAAAACAAACCGCCTCATTTATCTCGGAGTTTAATCATGGAACATTGATATTAGATCATTATGCATTAACTGAGTTTTACTTACCAAAACTGCTAACACAATAATTGAAAAGCCTGTTTGTAAAAGATTGGATTTTGATAGAGCATTTCCATATCTGACTTTACACGATCTTTGTCCAATGAATGCTTTTATCCAGTTTAGCATGTTATGCTTAATACCAATCTTTGCCAATTTTAGAATTAGCTTCTCTTTCCATACTAAGTCATATGCTGATTTGAAATCGACGAAAACAGCCGTAAGGGTATTTCTTGCATCAAGGGCATCTTTGATGTGTTGGGAGAGAGTGGCTACTTGTTGGTTCATTGATCTTTGTGGCCTAAAACCTGCTTGTTCACTCCTAAGAATATTGTTGGTCTCAAGGAACCAGGTCAGCCTCGTGTTAACCATTCTTTCCATAAGTTTAGCCAGCACGCTTGTGAGGGAGATAGGTCTATAGTTGTCAAAGTTGCTAGGGTCTTTGCCCTTTTTTAGTACTGGTATTACTATGGCAACTTTCCATTGGTTAGGTACGAGACTGGTCTCCCAGATTTTGTTGTAAAGCATCAGCATGGTTTCCTTGGCTTTTGGACTTATTCTAATTAGAAATTCTGGATGAATACCGTCTTCGCCAGGAGACTTCTTGCGCTTTAGCTGTTTTATCGCAGCATTAAGTTCGCAAGGTCGGAATGGTTCAGTAAGTACGTTATTTGGTGTTGCTACGTCTTCCTTAATTTCACCAAACTGTCTTACTTGTATCTTTAAATCTCTTGAAGATTTTCTGACAAAAGGGTTTTTCTTTTGCTTGTGGGAATAGAACTTCGCAAAGCAGTTAGCTATTTCGTTGCCGGTGGTAAGCAATTTGCTGTTTAAGCGTATTGGTTCTTTCTTGGGTCTTTCTCTGTTGTTTTGNTTTGACACAAAGCTAACGTGGAAAAGTCACATTGCTAAAATAGCAGAACGAGCCTCCAATAGACTGAATGTACTGAAGCGTCTTGCTGGTAGCGTATGGGGTGTGCGCGCTCAACTCTCAACACCACTTACAAGATGTTTATTCAGCCAATAATGTTGTATTGCTGGGATCCACTCATTACAGCCAGAGAGGTGACTCTCAAACCACTCGAGAAGGCACACAACCAAGCATTACGACTAATTACTGGAGGGATAAAATCAACACCCATTGATGTAATGTTCCTAGTTACGGGAAGCACCACAATATGTTCCCTTATCAAAGAAAAGGCCTTGATCCTGTATGAGAAGCTACTGCGCATTCCCATGGATAAGTTCTTCAGCACCTATGAGAATAGACCAAGACATCTGAAAACGCAATCTGGTATGGTACAGAAAGCCATAGAACTGAAGAAAGCATTACAAATCGATGACAAACCAAAAAGCCTCTCTCCCCCCATGAACCCATTAGCAGACATTGATGTAGTTGACACACTTGCTAAGAAGGGGACAACGATTTTGCAATGCATGGACCGGCCGATGTCTTTCCACACAATGAAGGCCTTAATCAGGAGAGAATTCCAGACCTCAAGGTACAACGAAATTAAAGCTCGAACAAAGGAGAAACAGTGGACAGTGGCAATATCCTACATACCCAAATGGCCAAGAATCGAAGCCGTTGCTGAGTTTAGACTACGTACCGGACATGATTGCTTGGCAAAACACCTTCACAGATTGGGTGTATACACTCAACCCACATGCCCTCTATGTAACCTTCAGGAGGAAATGGAGAAGACCCACCTGATTCGGTGTTCAGCCCTAAAGACAAGTACGGAAAGCCAAAGATACTGGGAAGAAAGAAGACAGCTAATGAATTGCTATTAATTAACTGCTATAAATGTACCCCCCTTCTTGGGGGAAGCTTAAGTCAACGTGTAAGGGCTAATGATAAATATCATAAAGCCTGCCATTTGAAATAAATAAATATAAATAATTGAAAAGCCTTCATCTACTTGTTAAGCTTTTTAACCTAACAAGTACTATTGAATTATTTTCAGTAGAAACATGTTTGCAAATGATTTTGTTTTGTTCGGAGGAGTGGACGTGAAGCATTAGACAGCTTTGTGGTCTCGAATGAAAAGATATGGCTGGGAATTTTCAAAGTTTAACTGACAGTTAAATCATTTTAAAACAATTCGAAGTCAAGGTAAAGTGATAAGTAATATATTCAGCATTGAAGTAAATGGATATCCATCACAAACACCAACTAGCACAACAAGGATGAATGGGAATGTCTGTAACCAGTTGTTCAGAAATCGTGGGCGAATGAATGGAATGACGAAAATTAATTTTTAATATGGAGAGAGCGGGGTGTGCGATTGACTTACCTCCACGTGGTACACCCTGGGCAAACGTATACTCATACGACAAAAAAGTCTATAAACCGACAGTTGACTTCTCACTTCGAACCACCATGATCCCACTTTATATCAAATTCGACCACTTCAATAGTACTCATCTTACCTCTTCGATACATTTGTGTCCAACTCTCTCTTTATGTCTGTGAATCGCTTTTCTTTCCCCCCTCACGAAAATTTTTTCACTATGATGTTCCTCCCCCCCCACTGGAGTCCGACGTCAGCTAAAGAGCTAATGATGTCTATCATAATGCCTGTCATTTGAAATAAATATGGAAGAGGGCATAAACCGTTTAATATGCTATGGCATGTTGTGCTTAAATTTTTCATTAGATCCACTCGTTGTGTTTAGAAATCCATTAACTTACTGTTTTAAAACTTGTCCATAATAGCCAATAACTCAGAGGAAGACGAGTTTCAACATCTGGTCGATGACACACCAGTTCCATATTCACACAACTTGTCCGGTTTAGTACGCATGTAAAACATGTAAATAATTTGTGATGACTTGCAAGGAATAAGTTAAATATAAATCCCCTCTTATTTTACTTTTGCTGCCGAATTGTGCAGCACTCCACTTACTAATTGAATTAAAAATTCAAAAATAAAAATATCGATTGTGGTCTTCCAAAGTTGACAAAGAATTCTTATGGAAATCAATTCAAGTGCACCACCTTTATGATGCGTCTGAAATTTTCAAAGTCCAGTATGAAAAAACTCTTTTGGAGTCATTCTATCGAGGAAAGCACTTTCTACCACTTCGATTGTTGGCCAGAACTAATCGTTGGAGTTGGCGACACGTCGTTGAATGTGCGCCAAACAGCACTGGTCTTGTGACCTCCAACTTGACAGAAAGTACACTTCAATAACTGCGCAATCGATGCTCTTTCGGTTCCTCACACTTTGCAGTTTATTATTTCGCCTTTTTCGTGTTGTTGTTAATCAACCCGACTATTTCTAATGGTTTTTATCACCCTTTTTTTTTATTAATTTAAAAATAGTTTAACTATAACAAAGTTGGCAGTAATTTGCAATGAGAGATTATTTTGTACTTTTAATTTTGTTCAGTTTTGATGGGCCAAGAGTTCTTGTGGAGAAATTGATAGTTTCATTAACAAGAGCCGATACAATTTTCAGTATATTAATAGCTTTTGGAAAAGCTAATGAAATAACAGGTTTCCATCTTAAAACTGACATTTATAAATGACTGAAGTTAAGAGAGATGCCATTTTGGCCTACAAAAACCCTCGAATACTCTTTGTCTTTTTATGCGTTTGCAAATTAGCATTGAGGGAGACTGAAAGAAAGGCACAATTAAATGTGAGAAAAGGGTTGCCTACGATCTCTCTGTACGCATGCGTTTTATTGGATAGAAATAAGGCAACACAATGGGATATTTATTTGACGAAATTATGCTTGACCTGGGGGGTGTGCGATAGACTTACCTCCAAGTGGTACACACTGGGCAACGTATATTCATACGGCAAAAAAGTCTATTAACTGGCAGTTGACTTCTCATTTCAAACTATCATCACCTCACTCTATGCCATATTCGACTATTTACACAGTACTCACCTCACCTTTTTTCTACCTTTGTGTTTGTCTCTTACATTTTTGAAACACTATTCTGTTCTACCCCCCCCCCTCCCTCTCGACTTTTTCAATTCGATGTTCCTTCCCCTCTGTGAAGCCCCAAGGTCAACTAATGGGCTAATGATAACCATCAAGATGCCTGTCATTTGATATAAATAAATGCTTGACCAGGTTCCCATTTGGACAGTTTCAGCGGTATTTGTTGTGTTTGATGGATTTGCATCGAACACCGAATGAATGCGTTTGTCTCAATGATGCTGGTACTATTCATCTAGGAGGTATGATTCACATAATTCGTAAGACAAATGATGAAATCTTTCCTTTGAGCGCATGCCCAACCCGATGGAAGATACTCCGGAATTCAAGTTAAGTTAGACTTTTAATGTACGCACTTGCTGATCAATCGATGCTAGTCATTTGACCCGTTCAATACTCATATGAACTCGCGTTTCATTCCATTCTATCCAGATACCTTTGCGTAATTAAAATTAGTAAAGTTAAATTGTTGTGTCATGTCAAGAATATATATGTAAAGCTTTAATTAACTTTGAAATATGGCTAAATTGAAGTTTCATAGTGTCTTAAGGCATCTAAAAGCACAATTCTACCAAATCAACCCATGTAACCATTAATAAATGTTAACATTTTTTAATAATTCAACCTCGCTCAAGTACTGGCATAAATTGTAGAGACGCATTTTGTAATGTTCGCCTTTTCGAAAGAGCGATTTTATCACGAATTCTTTATGGCTCACAGCTATTGGTTCAGGCTGATCTCAATGATTCAGCAAAGCCAGCAGATAAATTGGAAATAAATTATTATTACTTTGGCGTTGAAATCTGAAATAACATGCAAATGCCATAAATCTCCCCCCCAGAATTATCAAGATATCGAAACACATTTGCGTTTAAGGTTTAAAATGTTAGGAAAGTGAACATGAGCAATCAAGTGTTACAAAATTTACAATTTGAGTAGTAAAACGCCCACCCCCCATTAAACTTCATGATATTTTCATTGCATTTCAACCCACATTCCAGAGGGGAATCAAAGCAAATTAAGTTGTGGAACATGTAAAAAAAAGTTTAATTTTTTTAAAACTGTTTATCATATTATTTTGTTTTTTTTGACTTAACAATAAAGTGCTAAGCTCAAAGTTCTTACTATTGTGGCTGTAAGGATGTAAGGGACATGATTGAATACGTAATTAATCAAATGGTTCAATAAGTCATGAATAACATAAATAGAAACTCACTAGGATTCCATAGTAATACATTAGATAAATACTCCCGTGGAGGGTCTGGATATTACGAGATCTACTATAGCTAATTCCAGACAGACAGTGAATAGGAGTGTGACCTGAAAGAATGCGAAATAGCAAACCGAACCGTGTTCGTTTTAGAAAAGTTCTTGGTGTCTGTTTAGTCCAGTTGACGAGTATTACAAGAAACATGTGGTGACAGTACGGCTGGAAAGTCATAAGAAGGGTGTTTGTCTAGACTTCTTGTTCAATGAAAATGCAACAGAGTTAAAACATGAGTTGAATTGAATTGCAAGCAGACCTGACGTTTCGGAATCTTGATTGAACTTGAGTTCTTAAATCTAAATACTCTCCATTTTAGGGCGTATTCCTTTTCCCTATGTCCAACTAATTTCTTGTGATGCAAGTCGTAGATAGCCATAAGCAGGCTTTTATTTTTAAGAAAGAAAACAATATTTATACTCATTAAAAATTTCTTGAACTGTGCATTTTTGTATTGACGAATCCATGCATTCAAATTTCCCATGCAAACCACCTATATCGCTTTGTGCATTTTACTTTAATTGCCTCCAATCTTTATGGTATTCATTAAAGATTCCGAGCCATAGAGTACTTTGAAAATTTAACTCTTGTAAATTCAGCTTTCAAATCGTTGGCAGATTAAAATGCATAACTTGCCACTATGCAAAAACTGTAAGTTACTGAATGTTGTGAGAGTAAAATATTTCCCTCAATAATATTTGAAGCCAAAAAAGAATTCAAGGAGCTAAAAGTCAGTAACCAGAGGCGATTCCTGAAATTTGAATTTTGAATATGAGCCAAATAGTAAATAAGTATTCGAAAAACAGAATCAAAATAATCTGACAGTGGAGTAATCCATGTTACTGTTAATACCCTTTTTTGGTTTCCCCTTCTTTAACCAATTTTTGGACTTGTTGCTTCTCAATTAAAAAATCGATTTTTTTTTATTTTACTCCCATCAATAATATTAATATTATTTACACAAGTTCTAAGCAGGTTTTAAGTAGCCATTTTTTTGTTCGTTTCCTTGAATATTCAAAATATTAGCCATATGAGCAGAGATTAAAGGGTATTACCTAAATGCTCATAATGAAGTATTAAACGTTATAAAAAGAGAGTTCAAATATATGCAACTCTTTCTTATATGTCAGTTTAATTGCAAATAGTTATAATTTCCAAGCCAATTTAAGGAAAGAATTTTCCAACCTGCTTCTTGAGTAGTGAGTAGGATCATGAAGGATTCTCGGAGAAAAACTCGAATTCAAACACTATGTGAATTAGCTAGATTTAACCAGTGTGATGCCAATCCTTCAGGCAAATGGGTTTCAATGGAACCCGAAGCCCTGCTCTCTCTGACATGGCTGAATAGTGCACCAATGAAGTAAAAGGGTTATCGGTTTGACAACTAATTTGTCTACTAAATTATTATCATATTCAATCTGCGGTACGATTTGAATAAAATGCAAAAAATAAGAAGATTGAAAAATTCTTCCGAATCGGTGGTCCGTACTAATTTCCATATTTATTCCGCCTATTATTCAAAATTCATGAGCTCAAATGTCTGACTTGCTTCATTTTAATAAATAAGCGCAAAT